GCAGCTCGCTCTGACCTCCCTTATACGGATAACGTCGATGCCATTTTTGAAAAAATGGAGCAAGATCGGCATATTAGTAGTTACGACATAGCCGAGGAATTGAGGATTCACCACAAAACAGTTTTGCCCCATTTGAAAAAGTCTGAGTTAATTCTATCTCTCAATTTAAGCTTATTTGCAATGAATTTAATAATACTTTTACTTCTAAAACATTCTCCTTGAACAGTTAGGTGGTCATTGAATGAATGGGCGACAGTAGGAGTCCATAAGAGTAGACGTAGGTTATATGATCTTTACCATGAAAGGTAATATAATCATAGCGTCGAATTTAGGGAATATGTAAAAAAAATATTCAAAAATATTTAAAAGAGTGTGCTCCACAGCCAAGTCTTTGCATTTGAGTAACAAAATTAAGACGGCTTCTAATAAAATTAAAATGACATGGAGTATAATTAATAACGAAACTGGTAAGATCAACTCTCGCGATTCTAACTACCAGTTAAGTGTTAATAACAAATTAACTGAATCAGATCAGGACGTTGCAATGGTTTTTGAGAAATATTTTACTGATATTCCGATCTTAACCACTAAGTCACTGAATTCTTCCCGTGCCGTCGCATAATCATTAAACTTAAACAAAATGTAAATGCGTGTACAAAGAATTTTACATTTCATAAAGTGTCATCAAAATATATTGTCAAATATTTTAAAACTATTGATGTTAAGAAAACTGCGGATCTGTGGGGGATTTCCGTTAAAGTTATTGCGTCTATAATAGATACAATCGCGCCTCATTTAGCTATTTATTTTTAATACTAGTATCGAATCTGGTGTGTTTCCTGATTTAATGAAGTATAGTAAAGTAATACCTTTATTTAAATTTGGTAGTACATTAGACCCCGCCAATTTTAGACCTATTCCTGTACTACCAACACTTAGTAAGATTTTTGAAAAAATTATTCTTGATCAAATGTTAAATTTCTGTAATATAAATAATTTACTTCATAAAAATCTAGGAACTACTAGGAACAGACACAAGCTCTACTAGCTCTACCAGCCTCGAGTAACTAGTTACTCGACTCCATCGCGTCAGTAATTCATTCTTGGGTCGATGTATACGCTTTTACAACAAAATTCCAGAAAATATAAAATACAAATTTTGACCTGCTTAAAGTTCAAAAACTTTATTAAACTAAGTTTGTATAAAAAGGGTTATTATAATATTAAAGAATTTATAGATAATAATAATCCCTGGAAATAAGGTGATCGCTACCAAGTTTTTTTAATTTGTTAATTTGTGTTACATACATGATTGTAAGCTGTTATTTAAAAAAAAAGCCGCTGGGTTTTTTGCTGGTTCTTCCCAGGACAGAGGTTTTTTTTCGAACCAGTGGTAGTTATACAAAAGAGCGACTTTCAATAAGTATTATTTATAATCTATATTGAATAAAAAAGTTTCTGTTTCTGTTCCTGTTTAAATAGATTAGGGTGCTAAGCGAGCACACAGTCAACCTGATGGTAAGTGGTTGCTGATGGCCCATGGACACCTACATCTATCCTCGTTTGCGAATAGAATGCAGATGCATTGTCAGCCGTGAGGACCAACATGGAATGCCTCTTTTCCAGTAAAAAGGGTCTCCGGTTCTCTACACTCACCAAACGAAACAGCAGCGTTAAGCTGCTATTTTACGCTGGTATTCTGTGAGAGCGTGGTCCTTCCCCGATCGAGCCGACGCATTCGTGCTACAACTGTACTATTCATATAGCTGTAGCACGGCTCTAACACGTATAAAGCCTAATACTACACGAGCTCACTGAAAGAAACCTAATGAATAGTGTACTCATTTGCGATTCTCTGTTGAAATGTAACGAAACTGAACCATGTTTGAAAAGATTGATCACTGGTGATGATCACCTACGGCAAGAAAGTGCGAAAAAAACTTTCAAAGGCTCCATATCCGTAGTCCTCTCAGAAATGAGAGGACTGTGCCCTGTAGAACGTATATAAGATGCAACTTTTTACATTACGTTCCTATTCGACTATTTCAAGTAGAAAAATTAGGTTGAGCATTCATATTAATGTTGGTTACAAGGATGAATTAGTGTTTTAATAATAATAATCTTTCTTGAATTCTCCCACAAATTGTGTATTGCATAATTTATCTGTTAGAACATTTTTTTTAATAAATCAAAGGGTACATAAATTTATGAGAGACGGGATTCCAAACAAGGATAAACTTGTCTTGATTCAATTAATGCTTGAAATTCAACATGGATACGTCCGTGAATCCCCTTTTCCGCATTTTATCCTTATCGCTCACCGTACCTACTTTGGCTAAATGACATTGAATGACTTTTGGTCCGTGTTAATCTGCTATTGAATTAATAATCAAAAATTATCAATCCATATTCCATACACGTTTAAATAAAAATTAATTGTCTGTTTGTAATATCGTAATACTGGTTTCTGTTAAGATTGGGGAGAGGGGGAGGGGATTATTTGCACGCAAAATACTATAATACATAATTAAGACACAAATAATTGTTTTTCAAATGTTTGGCAGACTGTATGTCTGTCTGTATCTGTACGAGCTCATCTTCGGAATGGCTGAATTTATTGTCATCTAATTTCATGAATCCATAGAGAGCAATACCAGGAGTGTTATAAATATATTTTATTCGAAACATGCAGTTTTTTTTAATGTGAAATTGAAAAACGGATAAATTATATGATTTTTGATGATTAATTCGATAAACTGCAAGAATATAAAAAGAGTCAATAAATATCAAAGAAAAAGGATAAGGTATTCTACCTCTGAACACGCACAAGGTGTGGGCGACCGTCTACGGCCTCGCGATTGGAAGTCACCTGCTGGCAAGTACTGCAGTTCAAGGACACCTGCGGCCAACTTCAAACAAATAAGGCTACAGATGCATTGTCACCTGTGAGGACTAACATGACATACCTCACAGCCTGTTATTGTACTGGCTCCTTATACTCTCCAGACCGCAAGTGCACGCTTTGCTATTTGACGGTTGAAATACGTAAGACAATGGTACCTACTCAGACGGGTTTCTAGGTAGAAAAGGCATACTACCAACTAGCGATAGTTCTTTCAAGTGTGTGTGTGAAGTGTTCGATATTTGAACTACTGACCCTGAGATCACTATTATTATACATCTCCAGCAGGGCTAGCATAGGCAGGAGACAATTTTATCCCCGGGGAAAGGAGAAAATAGTTATCCCCTTGCTTAGTTTTATCCACCCTTCAAGCATGGGCACACCGGTGGGTATAATATCCAAAGTAGATAAAATGGGAGATAGGCTTTGACTTAGATAGATTTTTGTATGAATATAAACTTAAAATCTACGTTCAATGAACTAGGATAAAATTGTCCCTTTCAAATGTCAAAAAAGCATAACTTTTTACCGTTCATTTGGCTCTTGGTTATGTCAAACGGGGATATACTTTTCCCCGTTGCCGTGCTTTGGCATAAGGACAAGATAAATTTTCTCTTGTCAGTGGATATAATCGGGGGATAAATTTTTTGTCTCCAGTCCATGCTAGCCGTGCTGAAGTTTTTAACTTCTACGCGGACGAAGTCGGGGAAAAAAGTAAGGTGAGGTATAATTGTGTATATATATCATCTGTTTTCCTGATCTGTTTGATAAGCGTGGTGAATCTTTCCAATTTTGAGAGGTGTTTACTATGTCTCTATTCAATAGTGGGGTGAATGCAAATATAGTTTTACGTGGTAGAGCTATGTAGCAGTTGTGTTACGACTGTAGCACGAATGGGTCGGCTCGACCTCGGCTCGACAGAATAACAAGATAATGCTCTCGTATCTAGAAAGATAACTGACAAAATTCTCTGCCTGGGCGACTCAGACGTGGCTGCACCTTTGATGCGACGGTGGTGTGGCCGCTGGAAGAGAGGAGTATATATATATTTTTTAATATCGTATAAGGGTGACAAACGAGTACATAGTCCACCTGATGGTAAGTGGTTATTGTGGCCCATAGACATCTATATCCTCGATTCCGAATCAATATGCAGATGCGTTGTCACTCGTGAGGACTAAGATAGAATGCCCCGTTTCCAGTAAAAAGGGCCTCCGGTTCTCTACACTCACCATACGAAACACAGCTGCATAGACCTGTCATTTTACGCCGGTATTCTGTGAGAGCCCGGTTTATAAAAGGTTGATACTCTGTGGTGATAGCGTGGTTTTTCCTCGGTCGAGCCGGCCCATTCGTGTTACAACTATACTACTAATATAGCTGCAGCATGGCTCTACCACGTATATAAATTAAACATTTTTATTGGTAAAGAGGCATTCCGTTTTCACTGGTGACAACTGCGTCGTGAGGGTTCTCTTATTTCTCTACCTGGGCGATTCAGACGTGGCCGCACCTTTGATGCGGCGGTGGTGTGGTCGCTAGCGGAGAGTAGTATCTATATTGCGAGGTGCCGCTCTCCCTACAATACTATCCCTATAAATATAGGTGTCCTTGGGACAGCATCCACCTGTTATCAGGTAAACAGAACACTCATAATATGTCACTCTAAATCGTATATAGAAATAATTTAAAAGTAATCAACTAAAATAGTTCGTCAGTTCGGCTGTATGTTTGTCATTCAGCTCAGATGTGAATACAAAAGGACCAAAAATACACTATGCACTAAATGTATGGTTAAAAGTTGTAGAAGAAATATAATGTTTATATTAATATTGTATTATTAATGTAAACATTTTTTTTCTTACTATGTGGGAATATCAAGGCTATTAAATCGAGAGTTCACTTTGTTGCAACGTAACCTTTTGTGATAACGAGGAATCCCCTTTCCTCTCATTGTGAACTCCGGAATTTTGTTGTCACTCACACATGCGTCCTTGTTATGTATATAAGCCCAGTTATTTCTGCACATTATCATATTAACTTGGCTCTGTCTACAGAACAGTCGATCTTTAAAAATCCAGACTCAATAACCGTCAATATGAAGAGCTTGTGTTTGGTGTTTGTTTTTGCTATATTTCTCCAGTGTGAATCAAAGCAATTTAGTAGATGTGAACTGGTTCATCAGTTGCGAAGCCATGGCTTTCCCGAAGATAAGATGAGGGATTGTAAGTATTGTTTTGCTATTTACCAGACTGCGCGACGCAAAGGAGGGTTTTGTTTATCAGTCTATATGTATAAATGTAGATATATAAGTAGCTGTGCCCCGCGACTTCGCCCGCGTGTAATTTACTACGATTTCATGGATATCAATTGTTTCGCGCGGAACCCTAATTTTGCTTTTGAGTAATGCTACCGTCGTATAAATATTGACGTTAATATATATGCGATACTAACGTCATTCAATTGTTTTGCCTTCCCGGAACCCTTCCACTAACACTTAAACTTTATGGTATGGTATTAAAGTTCAAAATGACTTTTAAATATTATTACGAATCTTTTGTATGGGAATATAGAAAACTGTTGTTTTTAGACTTTTTCAGGCAATTTTTGAAATTTTTCTCTCCGTAAGAACCATCTTCGTACTTCAAGGAATATTATAAAAAAAAATTAGTGAAATCGGTTCAGCTGCTCTCGAGATTTGCGCTTAGTAACACATTAAGCGATTCATTTTTATATTATAGATATGCATATATACTTATATAGATTTGATTGTTCCCTTAGCGACCAAACTCGTAGGCGTGATTTTGATGATTCTTATGTCAATTGATTGTCGTAGTCTTGTGAGTGTCACTAAAGACATGAGAGTAATCAAAATTAAAGAAATAAAAAAAATTAAAAATTTAAGTCGACGAACTATCTTAAGTAGGGATTCTCTAATCATTTTTGATTTTAAATGATTTCTATACAAATAAATGACTTAATTGTCTTGAATGTTTGACTTTGGTTGTTTGTTAGCCTTGCACATACACATTGCACATTGTGTTAGTGTGCGTAGGCCTCGGGAGCGCTCAGTCACGATCGCGAGTGTGATGCCAGATTGGAAGACCATAATATCTGGACAAAATTTGAAAATTTCGGGATTTTTGGGTTGTTGTCCGGAGAAATAAATATTAAAAATAAAAATGTATTTAAAATAAAAAGTAAATTTTTAAATTAATAGGCTACAAAAAGACAACATTGTTGAGATATAATTAATTTAAATGCACTTAATTTATAGGTTGTCACATGTATTTGGCATTGGACTTTACTGAGTCATTTGGATCCTTTAATAAAAGAGTTAAAATTCAATTTACTTCAAAGTTCAGTCTAATCACTAACTCAGCTTTTATTAAATCAAAGGCAGATGTGGTGTGAAGAGAAGCGGTTTGTCTGGAGATGTTGAACTTTGTCGAGTGTGTGGAGATCATTTAAAATGTCGGGAGAATCCAGACGAATCCCGATCATCTGGCAACCCTCATCGCGAGTCTAACGAATCGTAGAATTACATGCACGCACATGCACGCCGCATTGCTGTATTCCGCTCTTAGTCCCCAATGGTGTTGCCTTCTTTGTTGAACTTGTTTGCAGGTGTCCGTGGGCTGCAATTGTCACTTAATATCAGGTTAACCGATAGTCCTTTAGTCACTTCAATTTTATAAAAGAAATTATATTTAGTAGACTGAATTAGCATTCTTCTAAATACAGAGCTTTCTGCCTCGTTGATCTGGTGGTATTAAGTGCGACCGCAGGTCATGTGCTCCTAGGTTCGAATCCCGAGTTGACCAAAATCAGTTATCAGGCTTTTTTCCACAAATTAATTATTAGTAGCAGCCTGGTGTTGGATGTTCGCGGTGTTTCACCTCATGCCTCGGAAAAAACGTAAAGCCGTTGGTCCTACGCCTGATTTTTCTCCGGTCGTGTCGGATTACCGTTCCATCAGACTATGAGAGTGAGGAAATAGAGAGTACACCTGTGCACTACAGACACACACTCGGGCCCTACAATCTTGTCCTTTGCAGTTGGCAAAAATCTCTGGCCACCGTCGCCGAAATTCGGTCTGGAAGTCATTATTATTAAATACAGATTTTACGTGCTAGAGCCATGCTGCAGCTATATTAATAGTATAGTTGCAGCAAGAATGGGTCAGCTCGAACAGGAAGGAACACGCTCTCACAGAATACCAGCGTAAAGTAGCAGCTTAATGTGTTTCGTATGGTGAGTGTGGAGAACCGGAGACCCTTTTTATTCATTCTATCTTAGTCCTCACGGCTGACAACGCATCTGCATTTTAATTCGCAAACGAAGATAATTGTAGATGTCTATGGGCCACAGCAACCACTTACCATCAGGTGGACTGTGTGCTTGTTTGTCATCCTTATTCTATAAAAAAATGTTTTTTAAAGCTTTGGAATATAAAAATATACATGTTTTTATTTAAATCTTTATAAACAAATCTTAAAAACAAATATACATGTTTTTATTTAAATCTTTACAAACGACACAATTATTTCTTTTAAATAAATTGTGTCGTTTCATGAGTGATGACACACATTTATTGATGATGCTATAGTACTTGATTTCGCGTCTCCCAGTTGATGATAATTGTAGTGAAATGAGGAAAACAACAGCTTATGTAAGAAAGAAAGAAAGAAAGTTTCTGTTAAAGTAGGGAAAAGAAAAGAGCCTACTCTTTTTTAAAAGGCCGGCAACGTCTGGAATTCCCCTGGTGTTGCAGTTATTCATGGGCAGCGGTAGTCACTTACCATCAGGTGAGTCGCATGGTCACATGGCCCCTCTTATATAAAAAAAGGAGATAGTCGCGCTTGTGCCCCGATATGTTTGGTGGCCTTTACATGCTCTCGAAATGTTTTTTATTTCTGTCTGTTTATAATATGGGTGTTTACACGGCAAGAGTGAATAGGATTTTGTTAAACTAAATCAGTTCACATTGTCATCTTTGTCTATCTACATCACCAATTACCATCAGTCTGGATATTAGTACAGCACTGGCTTATAATCATTTAAAATATAGTATTTTTATATGTTATTTTTTATTCTTTATAATGTACCTATTACGTTTTTATCTAGGGGTGTGTCTCGTAGAAAGTGAAAGTTCCCGCACTACCCATTACATCGGCAAGGTGAACAGGAATGGCTCCCGGGACTACGGCCTCTTTCAAATCAACGACAAGTACTGGTGCAGTAACACCAGCACCGCCGGCAAGGACTGCAATGTGACTTGTAATGGTACGTTGTCTTGTCTTGTCACTCAAAAGCAGTGCGTATATTGCTGCCGGAAGGGTATAGAGCTGTAGAGTGATTGATTTATGAATTGATAACCTTTTTGTTGAAACATATACATGATGATAGACAGCTCCGTGGCACAGTGGCTTAGCAATGGGTTGCAGCGATAAGGGCCAAGGGTGCGGGGTTTGATTCCCGCACCCGCGGTCTGGATGTTTGTCCTTGTGAAATATTATATGTATGTAAACTGCCCCCGCGATACAGGAGAAAATCCTTGTGTGGAGGTAACGTTTAAAAAAAAGAGAAAGATAATATTATATAGGTACTTTTTATATTTTATTTTAAAGTATAATGGTGACAAACGAGCACATATCCAACTGACAGTGAAGTAGATGTTGTGGCTCATAGACATCTACATCTGTCTTCGATTAAGAATCAAAATGCGGATGCGTTGTCACTCCTGACGACTAAGTTGAAATGCCTTATTTCCGCAGGGGTCTCCGGTGCTCTACTCTCATCATACAAAACACAGCAGCATTAAGCAATTTTATGCTGATATTCTGTGAGAGCGTGGTCCTTTCACGTTAGAGCGGACTCATTCATGCTACAACCATAATACTTATGCATGGCTCTACTTACTTATGTACGTTAAAAAGTTACTTTAATCATAGTGTTTAGAAGTGACAACTTGTCGGCATTTAGGTTCTTTATTGAGTAAAGATTAATTGAGGGTAGATGTAAACATCCACTTACCATTAACTGGACTGTGTGCTCGTCAAACCAACCTATCTATTGGAACAGCAGATGTGCAGCAGCATCTTCCCAATAACAATACAAATAAATAAAAAAAAAAAACTGATCTTGCCATCCCGTTTGCCAAGCGTGGCAACTATTGCCAAATCATTCCTATGAGCATCAGCATTATGAAGGGCTGTCATGATGATGACGATGTCAATGTCGATGACGTTGACAATCACGATGAGGATGACGGTGATGATAATGATGATGATGACGACTGCGATGAAGATGACAATGACGATGATGATATTAAAAACTATAATATTAAAAAATAACTAAAACTAGAAACTTAATTATCATATGGTCCTATTTCCCGCGGTATCTTGCCAAGAACGCTGGCTGAGTTTCCCCGCTGAATGGCTATACTTAGCCTTTGAGCGAGAAAAGAACCAGCCCTCTTATCACCAGCAGCAACGACCAGCCGCGGATGGAGTTCCTTTAGGAACTCCACCGCACGTGGACCCCACGGACCGATAGTCTCTACAGCAAATGGCACAGATATGTAGTCATCTCTCAGATGATATTATATATTAAAATTAAATTATATTTTCAGATCTCGTGACAGACGATATTACCAAAGCGGCTAAATGCGCTAAGAAGGTGTATAAGCGTCATGGCTTCAATGCCTGGTACGGATGGAAGAACAAGTGCCAGGGTTCGCTGCCTGATATAAGTTCCTGCTAGAGGAGTGTGAAATCGATTTTATAACACAATGACACTTAATATCACTTTGTTCAATGTACTGTAATCGATAAAAAGTGTCTTTATTACAAGCGTAATAAATTTATGTTAAAAAAATATTTTTATGTTAATTTCATATTATCGTTTTTATTCATTCCATTGAGTTCTGATTTTATTTATATTGAAGTTAGGATTACAATAGGCGTGGTAGCTTAAAAAGCAATCCGATTACACTCATCATTAGCACCAATGAAATTGTTAGTGGTAATTTTAATTTACCACGTGCTCGGTGGTGAAGGAAAATGTCATGAGGTAACCTGTAAATCATGTCTGAGAAATTAAGAAAAAACATTTCGAAGTCATGTGACGTTCGCCAGCATTTAAAGGGCAGCGTGTCGGACATTTCCTTGCCCTTGATCCCTCTCAGAAGTGGGAGGAGGCTTGTACCTAGCAGTGGGACGTGTAAAGGCTGTTATATTTACTACTTAACTTTTTAAGACACATGTTAAGTGATGGTTAGGGCCACAGACATCTACATCATTAATACGTGGTAGAGCCATGCTGCAGCTATATTATGGTTGTAGCACGAATGGGTCGGCTCGACCGGGGAAGGACCACGCTCTCACAGAATACCAGCGTAAAATAGCAGCTTAACGCTGTTGTGTTTCGTACGGTGAGTGTAGAGAACCGGAGACCCTTTTTACTGGAAACGAGGCATTCCATCTTAGTCCTCACGGGTGCCAACGCATCTGCATTTTGATTCGTAATAGAAGATAGATGTAGATGTCTATGGGCCACAGCAACCACTTACCATCAGGTGGACTGTGTGCTCGTTTGTCACCCTTATCCTATAAAAAAAAAACTTAAAAATCTAAATGTAGATGCGTCCCCCTAAGGACTAAGGTGGAATGCCTCTTTACCAATAATAAAAACAAGTGGTAAAATTAAAAATGTTGTACAACCGACTTCAATATAAATAAAATGTAGTCGACGTCAAATAAATACCCATTATTAAGGATAACTCAAAAAGTAGTGGCCCGATCTAGTTTAAATTTATATGGGACCACATGAATAAAACCAGCTTCCAAATAAAAAAGAATAATCAAAATCGGTTCACCTAGAAAAAAATTCTGAGGTAGCACATAAAAAATACAGGTGGATTGAGTACCTCCTCCCTTTTTTGAAGTCAGTTAAAAAAGGGTCTCCGGTTCTCATTACATGAAACACGATAGACTGTGCGAGCGTGGTCCTTTTGTCGAGTCGACTCATTGGTGCTGAACCATAATATAGCTTCAGCGTCGCTGTTTCATAAATAAGAATGATGTAAACGTAATAATTTATTAATGAATAGCTGTTCCCCGCGACTTCGCCCGCGTGCATTTTAGGGTTTTAATTTTTTTGCGTAGTAGTCTTAGTTACTCCTTATAACATCAACTATCTGCCAGTGAAAGCCCCATGACAATCGGTCCATTTCGGGAGATCAGCTGGAACAAACAGACAGACAAGCAAAATTTTAAAAATTGTGTTTTTGTTATTAGTATCGTATATAGTTTCATAATACATTTATCAAAAAGCTGTTATTTTGATATTACAAACTTCCATTTTATTTATATGTATAGATGGTATCAATTACCCATTTAGCGACAGACGTATAAGTAAACTATCTACTCACCTCACCACGTCTATTAATTTAATAATCGTTGGGAAAATAGTAGGAGTATGTAACTGTACCATTTTTAGCAGATGATATATCTACTAATGACCTCCAAACTGAATTCTGGTCACAGCGGCCAGTCTCAACGGAGACCAGCTTCGCTGGACAGGATTAGAGTGCATATGTGTTTGCGCAAGCATAGGTGCACTCTCTATTAATTATATTCTAATCTAATGTTATTTAGATATAATAATAATAATGTCCTTCAGGTCACGGCGGCCAGCCTCAACGGAGACTAGCCATCGGCCCAGGACAAGGTTATAGTGCCTAAGTGAATGCGCAAGCACAGGTGTACTATTTATTCCCTCGCTGTCATAGGCCCATGGGATGGTAAACCGACACGACCGGAGAGAGATCAGGCGCAGGACCAACGGCTTTACGTGCTTTCCGAGGCACGTGCAAACTTAGTTGTGCACCGTATGGTGTAAGGAAGATTAGAAGTTAGTTGAAGAATGTTGAAAAAGCTACATTAGTTTATTACAGTTATTTTGTAATAAGTAATCTTCCTATGAGGAAAAGGGGCTGACATTGGGCCATATTTTTTAAAAGGGGGTTAAATTTATAATTGAAATTGTAAAGAGTCCTTTAGAGAAAAGTATAAAGAAATAAATATATTAATTTTATTCTCGCAATAAATTTATAAAAATATAATTTAAGATAATGTGTTCAAGTTGAAATAAAAATGGCACTGATAAGATAATCATAGTTTAAATATAGCAACATAAGCTTATTAAGCATTTTTAATGCCAGTTATTAGACTCGACAGTATCAGCAATTCACTTATGGGGTAATGTATACGCTTATACAACAAAATTCTAGAAAATGTTCAATAGAACAGAATAGAATAAATTTTTCATCAATGTATATTACGAGGGCGGCACTGAAAATTTCGGGAATCAAGGAAGTGACACAACATTACTATTTAAAAATGTATTTATTGCTTTTCGAAGTATTCTCCGCGAAATTTGACACATTTTTCCATACGATGGAACCAATCATTGAAGCAACCATTCCATTCGGAAGTTGAGGTCTCCAAAATGGCCGTTTTGTAGGCGTCCTCAACTTCTTCAGGTGATGAAAATCTCTGTCCACGCAATTTATTCTTTATTTTAGGGAAAGTATAGAAATCATTAGGGATTAGGTCGGAGCTGTACGGCGGATGGTCTAATAATTCTATGTTTGCTTGCTCTAAAAACTCTTTTGTTCTGTGTGCGGTGTGAGAACTCGTATTGTCGTGATGGAGGATGATGCGGCGGTTGCAGTTCTCTTTACGGAGTTCAGAAACGACCTGTGGCAAACAAATGCTAGTATACCATTCTGCATTAACCGTTCTTTGTCCCTCAAGAGGAATAGTTGTAACATGGCCGGTTTTGGAGATAAACGTGGCCACCATTTTTTTGCAACACTCCGTGAACGAACAATTTTTGTTGGCTTTAACTCATTTTCGAACACCCAAAACTCGTGACTGGTTTTTTGTTTCGGGTTCGTACGTGTATATTCAGGATTTGTCACCTAATACGATGTTGTATACAGCATTTGAGGATCCTGCGTGGAATCTTTCGAGAGTTCTGATGCACCAAGTAACGCGAGCCGCTTTTTGCTCTTCACAGAGCGAATGCGGTATCCATCAGGAAAACAACTTTTTTACACCTAATTGTTCATGCAAGATTATTTGTATTTGACTCATGCCAATGTCTAAAGTTGCCTGAATTTCGCGATATGTCACATGTCGATCTTCCTCAATCAGCTTACGCACAGCATTAACGTTTTCTTGGGTGACTGCAGTTTTTGGTCGACCTTGACGGGGATCATCACTGAGCTTGATACGTCCATGTTGAAATTCAGCAAACCAGCGATAAATTGTGGTTTTGGATGGGGCTTCATCACCAAATACAGAAATCATCCGGTCAACACACTGTTTTTGTGTTAAACCACTTCAAAAGTCATAATAAATTATCGCTCTTGAATTTTCTCGAGTCAATTCCATTTTCTCAACGACTAAACAAGTTTGACAAAACCTTGTGACAAGACCAAGAATCATTTTTTAAATAAATAAATGGTATTCAATTTTTAAAACCAAGGGGTTTTCAATTAAAAAGAATTTAATATGACAGGAACAGTGGAAATATTCCATTCCCGATACTTTTAGTGCAGCCCTCGTACAAATAATTCTTATCTTAAGACATTTTTTAACCCCCGACGCAAAAAGAGGGGTGTTATAAGTTTGACCGCTGTGTGTGTCTCTGTTTGTTTGTCTGCGCCACCGGAGATTTTAAACGGGTGAACAGGTGAAGCGGCTTTTTTTTTATTTAAAAGCAAGTTTTCTAGCGGTGGTTCTTAGACATGTTTTATCAAAATCGGTGCAGCTGTTTCAAGGTCATTTCCGGCAGTTTTTTTAATTTCGAATTTGAGTTATTAAGTTTACCACTGGTTTGAAAAAACCTCGGTACTGATAAGAACCAGGTTATCGTCATTATATAGATATATATCGCCAGGTTATAAGATGGTTCTTACGGAGAGAAAAATTTAAAAAATTGCCTGAAAAAGTCTAAAAACAACACTTTTCTATATTCCCATACATAAGATTCGTAATAATAATTAAAAGTCAATTTGAACTTTAATACCATACCATAAAGTTTCAGTGTTAGTGAAGGGGTTTTTGTTTTTGGGGTTTTTTTAGACGTTTTCAGGCAATTTTTTAAATTTTTCTCCGTAAGAACCATCTTCGTACTTCAAGGAATATTATAAAAAAAGAATTAGTGAAATCGGTTCAGCTGCTCTGCTGCAAATTTGCACTTAGCAACACATTCAGCGATTCATTTGTATATTATAGATAAATAAATATATTAAAATCATAGTTTTGTCAAAAATATTAACGTGTTTTGCTCCTAATGTTTCATTTATACTCACGTGACTTACGTCATAGGTATAATGTAATGTATCTTCATGCAATACAAAATTGATTGTTTACCATATCAGTCATTATTAGAAGGTATGCAATGCAACACAGCCTTTTGATGGGCAATTCCGTTGGTCCGAAGTAACATGGGCAGCTGTACACGTCATCGTTGGAGCCACACGCAAGTGTGAGTAACGATCCAAGAGCGAGTCTCATCCGACACTATTCCGAAGATATCCCGGACGTCAGTCTGAGCGAGATTAGAATGGCTCTCCAGCACCTTAAAAACGGTAAGGCCCCAGGCGAGGATGGAATTACAGCGGAGCTTCTGAAAGCGGGTGGAAGACCGGTACTTGAAGTCCTTCAGAAGCTCTTTAATTCCGTCCTCCA